CTATTCATACATATATTTTCATATATACAAATATTATATATATATATATATATATATATATATGCACACACCCACATGCATATATAAATACATACAAGTATACATATATAAATAACTTCGCATGAAAGTAGTGTCTTTTACATTTCATTACATACAAATATTTTTTTAGCGTCTATTTATAATTATTTTGTTTTTTTACAATTCAGTGTGCTCACAAAGGGGTCTGCAGGGGCGTTCTCAGACTAACGCAAAAATCTACACTGTTGCTATGGAAGGTCTCAGAAAACCCACGAAGGTGAGTGTAAAAATGTAGCTCACTGTGCGTGTGTAGGTGCAACCTACATAGAGATAGCTGCGAATAAGCTTATATCAATCCGACTTAATTAATACCTTATTAATCAATAATTGTATGCCTTTATTGTATTATATCCATAAACATCACCCCCGTGTGCTCGTCATTGACACCTGATTAGCCAAGGGTATGCCTTCTTTGGACTATATACATGATTATTTGCCCCGTGTGCATATGTCATCTCTTTGGGTGGTTGCTAGGCTACATATACTTGTAGATACGCACAAGACGGTAGATTGCTCATGCGCCTCTTTAGTTGGCTGTTACTAGTCACATGCTTGTGCATAACGTGCTATTCTCACATGTGCTTCTCTGATGGGCTACTACTTAAATCGTACCCGTACATTGCCAAATAACATGCATGCCCTCGCTTTGGCTGTTGTCGGCTACACACTTATACACACAGCTACGTTGCAACCTACATACTTCTTTGATTGTCTGTTACTATAATACATACTCGTGCGCACAGGACCATGTCATCCACGGGTCTTTGTTGATGCTTGGCGAGATGTTCCAACACACCGGTACATTCATGGAACCTCCAAGGTATGTTTTGTGACCCAGTCCCAATAGACCGCCTTAGGTGTCAGGTATTTTTCGTTTGTCGTTTCAGTACCAATCTTGTACATGTATAGTGTCAGTTGTTCAGTTGCCATGGGTTATTCCATGTATGCTATATACGTTACGTATGGGCACTAGAAGACACGTCCTTGTGCTGGTAGTGAGAGATAGGCTGTGTGTGCACCCGTTACTATAGCCCAGGCGTGTCTACGTATCACAGCCTGTGATCAGTCTACGCTGTCACTGTACAACTAGCCATCACCTCAGTACCAATAAACGCTATGGATCCTTTGTGGCGGTCTGGGGCTGTAGCCACTTCCCCGCTATTTGACTTATGAGGTAGTTGAAACACGACTCGTCTGTCGCATGTCGAGCAATTGGAGTATAAACAATACCTCGCATATCCCTACTCTCACGCACGCAGCTGACCGACGGTGTTAGGACTTATTACACCACACGGGGTGGAGCATAGTTAGTGATACGAGCACATGGTGTATAATACATACATATATACATTCATACATACATATATATATACATACATACATACATGTATACATACATACATACTGTAGCCCGATTTGTGCTTGTTTACAGACACCAGGTATGTAGCTCAGAGACGATGACTCATACCACGACATCCCTCCATTCATTCCTCTGACTCTTTCTCATTTGCAGATATCAAGAGGCGTGTCAGACTATCTTCAAATTCCAGAACCATCGCAACGAATACATCCAACACGAGGTCATGAAACTGATGTCCGTCGTTGCCAAATTCAGAGACGATGTGTGCCGAGCCGTCTTCGTACCCGAGTATGTGCACGCGTATTCAAGTGTATGTGCACGCGTATTCAAGTGTATGTGCACGCGTATTCAAGTGTATGTGCACGCGTATTCAAGTGTATGTGCACGCGTATTCAAGTGTATGTGCACGTGCATTCAAGTGTATGTGCACGCGTATTCAAGTGTATGGACACGCGTATTCAAGTGTATGTGCACGCGTATTCAAGTGTATAGGTGAGCTTATTCAAGTGTATAGGTGATCTTATTCGAGTGTATAGGTGAGCTTTTTCAAGTGTATAGGTGAGCTTATTCAGCTGTATGCATTGCTCACCAGGACCCTCTCTACGCACATGGTGATTCATGTCTCGGTGCGTTGTCCCCTGTTCTGTTGTCTTAGTTCATATGTATACTGTGATCCGTGCATGTTGCGCAGGTGTTGTGCTCTCATTTTATGTCTTAGTTCATGTGTGTACACTGATCTGTGCAGGTTGCGCAGGTGTTGTGCTCTCTTTTTGTGTCTTAGTTCATGTGTGTACTGTGATCTGTGCATGTTGCGCAGGTGTTGTGCTCTCTTTTTATGTCTTAGTTCCTATGTGTACTGTGATCCGTGCATGTTGCGCAGGTGTTGTGCTCTCTTTTTATGTCTTAGTTCATGTGTGTACACTGATCCGTGCAGGTTGCGCAGGTGCTGTGCTCTCTTTTTATGTCTTAGTTCATGTGTGTACATTGATCTGTGCAGGTGGCGCAGGTGTTGTGCTCTCTTTTTATGTCTTAGTTCATGTGTGTACACTGATCCGTGCATGTTGCGCAGGTGTTGTTCGTGGCACTCTCAATGAGATTGAGGCGTGCCATCCCCACAGTTACAATTGTGTGCCGTTGTGTGTGGGTTTTTTTAATAGGGTTTTAGGGTTATAGGGTTTTAGTTTCTTTGTGAGTCTTCGGCAGCACGTGTTGCTGAGACGTCCTCACACTAGCGTGCGCAACTCAGCCCGTGCTTGCCCAGTCAGTGGTTTATATTGGCTCAGTAGTGACTAACCACTGTGTGTGGCATGTGAAGAACGTATAACATATAACTACTAACCAAGCTACGCCGTACCAACCCTCCTGATTGTCGCTATTGCGCTGTTGCTATCGCACATGTTTTCTCACTACATGTTTATCCACAAATCTCATTTCCCCCAGAACATCTCCAACGAATACGAAGCTTGATGTGTATGTAGACACATAAAATTTACCCAAATGGAAATTAATAATATCATCCACACACTTATACACAGTCCCTTGCTATACGGCGCAAGCCATCGGCAGAGGTTATGACACCGCCTGTCCAATACTCCCCTCAGGCCTCACGATCCTTGTCCCATCTACATTTCACTTATTTTCCCATCTATATTTCACTTATTTTCCCATCTACATTTCACTTATTTTCCCATCTATAGTTCACTTATATTCCCATCTATATTTCACTTATTTTCTCATCTAAATTCTACTTATTTTCCCATCTGCAGTTGACTTCCCATCTACTGTTGACCTTTCCTTCATATTAATTTCACGTATTTGCAAGTTTCCATTGTCTCCTCTGAATGTTACTTATCCGCTCCTTGTTTGTCCTCTGCACAGTTACCTACCACTGTGCGTAAGTCATCTACAGAAGATGTTGCATCGGGATCGCGAGCGGTCGGCGGCGTTTGAATCGATTGGCAAACTGGCAGAGGTTGTGGGACCAGCCTTCAAAGACTATGTCAAGTTTGTGATCGCAGACATGCGAGAAACCTTTCTGGCTCGCAATAGGTACGAAAATCATATATGGGTGTATGTAAGTATGTGTACTATGTTTGGGTGTATGTAGGTATGTGTACTATGTATGGGTGTATGTAGGTATGTGTACTATGTATGGGTGTATGTAGGTATGTCTACTATGTATGGGTGTATGTAGGTATGTGTACTATGTATGGGTGTATGTAGGTATGTGTACTCTGTATGGATGTATGTAGGTATGTGTACTATGTATGGGTGTATGTAGGTATGTGTACTATGAATGGGTGTATGTAGGTATGTTTACTATGTATGGATGTATGTAGGTATGTGTACTATGTATGGGTGTATGTAGGTATGTGTACTATGTATGGGTGTATGTAGGTATATATACATTGTATGGGTGCATTGAGGTATATATACTATGCATGGGTGAGTGTATGTAAGTATACTATGCATGGGTGTATGTAACTATTTATACTATGTATGCGTGTATGTAGGTATGTATATTGCGTTTCCGTCTATTTACGTAGGAGTACATAGTATGTATGCGTGTATGTATGTAGGAGTATATAGTATGTATGCGTGTATGTATGTAGTAGTATATAGTATGTATGCGTGTGTGTATGTAGGAGTATATAGTATGTATGCGTGTATGTATGTAAGTATATATACTATGTATGCGTGTATGCATGAAGGTATGTATACTATGTATGCGTGTATGTATGTAGGTATATATACTATGCATGCGCGTATGTATGTAGGTATATATACTATGTATGCATGTATGTATGTAGGTATGTATACTATGTTATGCGTGTATGTAGGTATGTATACTATGTTATGCGTGTATATAGGTATGTATACTACGTTATGCGTGTATGCAATTATGTGATTGTTTATGCGTTTGTATATATATATGTATGTAGGCTTGTATGTCCGTGCGTAGAGTACGTGGTTTTGCGTATGCAGTACCTGTGCCGTACGTCAACTGTAAACTTTTTTTTTATAGCTTCGTTCAGTTGCCACGGACAGGCCCACATAGATGTACTCAGAAGCTTCTCATCGCTCCCCAAGTCCTTGGGCTAATATGCCACGCTCTCATATCTACTGTTTTATACTTACTGTTTTATACTTACTGGTTTTATACCTACTGTTCTATACCTACTGTTCTATACCTACTGTTTTATACCTACTGTTCCATACCTTGTTTTATAGCTACTGTTATATACCTACTGTTCTATACCTATTGTTCTATACCTACTGTTCTATTTTTGTCTTTATTCCTTCAGTATCACATGGCTGTGCTGTGTATACCTGCATCTCATCGCTCACCTAGTAGATGTGCTATTGCCCTGATTTCTCCCATCTACTGTTCTATTTATATAACCAATACTCCATTACTCCACACAAACTATAGATTTGACGCACCGCATGGCTATATTCAACTGGATCTTCAATTTCTTAGTTAGTGATCTATTTAAACTTTCATTCAACCTTAAACCCTAAATCCTAAACCCTAAACCCTATATACTTCCATTTCCTCACCTCCAGATCCAAATCTGGGTCCCCCAATCAGCACCACGTCGCTGTGTTCAAATGCATCTCATCGCTCGCGAAGTCCATGCGCTCAGCAATTACAGCAGACCTCAGTGATCTGCTGGACTTGATATTCCGCTCAGGTATTGGATAGCTGATATAATGTTCATTTTTATATAAATGTTTATATGTACATGTATATGCATGAATACGTATATATACATGAATACGTATATGTATATGAATATGTATATGTATATTTATATATTCATGTATATGTATATGTATATGTATGTGTATATGTATATGTATATGTATATGTATATGTATATGTATATGTATATGTATATGTATATGTATATGTATATGTATATGTATATGTATATGTATATGTATATGTATATGTATATGTATATGTATATGTATATGTATATGTATATGTAT